TCTTTCTCAGTTGATGATATTCATGATGGGTGTACTATGAATTCCTGATGTCTGGGCAGGTATCAATGAATCTAATTAACTGATCACAAGATGTCATTAGAAGACAAGTGTTGGGATGCCTTTAAGAAAAAAGATCATGAAGAAGCTGTTCGCTTATTACCATTAGTGAAGGAACCAAATAAAATTGAAAGAAGATATAGATATGTGTCTGATAATGTCAGTTTACTTCATTTGTCTTCAAGGAATGGCTGGTTAGATGTTACAAAAGATCTCATCACTAAATATCACTGTGACCCACAGGAAAGAGATGGTATGGGTAGGATTTGTCTTCATTATGCTGCAGAAGGTAATCATGTTGATGTAATGAGATATCTCATTGATGAGTGTCACTGTGATCCAATGGCTAATGATAAGTATGGATATACTGTTCTTCACAAAGTAGCTACTAAAGGATCACTTGATTTCATGAAATGTTTGATCAATCATCATCACTGTGATCCAATGGCTACTAACAATTGGGGTGAGACTGTTCTTCACTGTGCTGCTAGACACATTGATGTTATAAAGTATCTCATTAATGAGTGTCACTGTGATCCAATGGCTGGCAACAAGTGCACACCTCTTCATGAGGCTGCTCGTTCTGGTAATTCTGCAGTAGCTGAATATTTACTATCAACTGGTAAATGTGATCCATTGGCTAAAAGCAATCTGGGGGACACACCATTTAAACTAGCTAAGGTGTATGGTGGCACTGATACTCTTTCTGTTTTGAAGAAGTTTGGTGGCATAAAATCTTCTCATCCAATTCATTCTTATGTTAACGTCCTCCTTGTGGGTAATCCTGGAGCTGGTAAAAGTACTCTTAGTCATGTCATCAATGACACAGCTAGTTTTACTCTTCTTGGTTCCTTTAGAAATGTTGGAGGGGTAGTGCCCTGTACTGCTGGTATCATTCCTTATAAACTACAACACAGGACACTGGGTAGCATCATTCTTCATGATTTTGCTGGCCATTCCGAATACTACTCCAGTCACAGTGCTGTCATTGAGAATCTCTTACAAGGTTCAGGTGGTGTGTTCCTGATAGTAGTCAATACATTGAAGAAGGAACCAGTCAAACAGCTTCATCAGTGGCTAACAGTTGTCAGAAATGAAGCACACAAAGCTCTTAATCAATGCCATGTTATTGTAATAGCCAGTCATGTGGATGAGATAAGTAATCCCATTGAAAGGAAAAGGAGAAAGGAAGAAATAAAGGAGATTATTGTAAGGGAAAGGTGTGATAGTGTCTTCTTAGATTGTCGTAAGCTTGGTGGGAGTGGTGTGGATTCCTTCTTTAATAAGTTGTCTAGTGCCTGTGAGTCCATTCGTAGTACAAGTGGAAGCAATTTGAGTCTTTATTGTCACATGATGTATGGTCTACTGGAGGAAAGGAAAGAGAATATACTCACCCTCTCTGATGTAATGTCTGCTGCTAAGGACAATGATGATTACGTTATACCAGATAAGAAAGAAGATGTTTTGGATGTTCTTCATTCATTGCACTCAACTGGTTTGATCAGTGTTCTTAAAAGTGAAGACAAGGTATGGGTTGTTGTGAATAAGGGTATACTACTAACTGAGGTGGATGGGATTCTCTTTGCTCCAGAGACATTCAAAGAACACGTTGACATTACTAGCAATACTGGTATTGTTAGTGTGTCTGGTCTGACTAAACTCTTCCCTAAATATGATCCTGACATGTTGATTCGTTTTCTAAAGAACATGGAACTCTGTCAAGAAATTAGTCCATCTTTCCTAAGAATGACAAACCTCCATCAGTTAGCAGTGGAAGAGGAGGAGGAGGGAGGGACAGAAAGAAGAGGAGAAAGGTTGTTGTTCTTTCCATGTCTTTTGTCTACTGATAGACCTGATGAGATGACTAGTCAAGTGTACCGGTTTGGTTGGTGTCTACAGTGTACTAGTAAACATCATTTCTTTCCTCCTCGATACTTCCACGTCCTCTCATTACGTCTTGCTTATAAAATGGCTCTACCTCAAGAAGATGACAAGTTAAAACGATGTTGTACCTTTTGGAAGAATGGACTTTATTGGTCTAATAGTCATGGTGTAGGATCACTGGTAGAGATTGTGGATGAGAGCCAGTGTGTACTAGTAATGATGTCCTTTAAAGAAGACTTTATGATGTCAGTAGGAAGAGATGTGATAAGAGAGGTAATGAGTGTGTATAAAGAATCCTGTCCCAGTCTAGAGGTAAAAGAGTTAGTTATTGATCCTAAAGAACTAGCCTATCCTGTGAATACAACAAGAGAAAGGACAGTGTATAGCGTGAAAAAGATACTGTCTGCTATTGACAAAGGAGAAAAGTGCATAGTTGATGATAATGAAACAAGTACAAGATTGAAGGAGATCCTACCTGATGAATCATTATCAGATATTAGTAACCTGTCACTATTAGGAAGACGTGATATTAAGGTAAGAATTAACACACAAACTGTTTGATACATTAATACAAGCACTAATAATCAAAAGGTCATATCTTAAAAGTGGTTTTTTTCTTATCAAAATTACTCAGTCTTTGTCATAATTGTAGGTTGTCATTGTGTGGCTTTTATTAGAAATAATATAAACTTGTACATCAGTTAAATTCACCTTTTAGCAATACACTACTGATGTATATCACCTTGATAAACAAGCACAGTGACAAATATCAGTTATTATTATTATTATTATTATTATTATTATTATTATTATTATTGTATAGGAAGTGATTGAAATAACTGAAGAATTTAAGACACCATTGACTCCAATAAAGCTAGGTATGTTATAACATGCAGAGGTGTACCCAGGAATTAGAAGAGGAAGGTGGTAATGGCGTGCGAAGCGTGTTGCAATTTTAACCAAACCCCTTTTTAAGGTGCTAAAAGATCATTTTCCACCATTTTCGAAGATGATTCATTAATAACAGGTGGGGTCACTGCAATTTCAGGCACGCTGGAGCTTCCTTCCTATTGCCCTGTAAAGCACTGGAACATGAGGCTGAAATGATTGTGTAGTGTGCTGAATAACTTCCTTAAGACACTTAGCAGTGATATGAGACACCAGAATTGTCTGACCCCAGCCATGAGGGGAGTGCTCAAACCCCTTTTAGCCCCCCTATATATGCCTCTGATATGTACAGACTGTACAGTGTATATACACATTATTAATTATTATTTTTATAGATATTAAAGTACTTGATATTGTCATTGAAGAGCTAACAATACTCAATCAATTGGATTGTACTAACTGGTATCAGTTTGGACTTCATTTAGGATTACATGATCCAACACTAAATGCTATTAAGAAGGATCATGGAGAATGCAAGCCATGTCTGATACAGTGTATGTCTGCCTGGTTAAGAGGAGAAGATAAAGTAAGAGAGAAAGGAGGTCCCAGTTGGTCATCATTAGCTACAGCTAGAGGTGGGCGATACGATACCAAAGTACTCATATATCCAATACCAGGCCTCCGATACCAAGTACTCGATACCAAATCCTGGTATCGAGTAGTGAGTAACCACGCCCTACCACACCTATTTTTTGACGTCATAATTATGACCACGCCCTTTAATAATTACAAAATGGCGGGTTGTTTCTCTTCATTTTTATTAATAACTAATTATAACTTATATGCGCATGCGCAGTAGCTGACTACTCATTCACTACTCGATACCATCGATACTGAGACTCAGACTACTTGGTATCGGTATCGATTCAAAAATTTCTGGTATCGCCCACCTCTAGCTACAGCACTGGATACAATAGAAGAGAAATCTATTGCTAGTTACATTAGAAATAAATATTGTTAACAATTATTGTTGATTGCTTTGATTGGTCTTATAGAATATTATTTACTTTAAATTTCTATTATGACTCAATTTGATAAAAATTTCAAGATAACTTGCCTATACTATTTCATTTTGTTGTGTTTATTAATTAACAGAATAAGTGACAACTATATTGTGGCAAGTATGAACAAGCTCCAATAAGACTATAAAGAAGGAAGTGTACCGTAGGGCACCTTTTTTTGAGGGCTATAAATTTTGCAGATTTTGCAATTTTTTTAAAGATTCGCAAAAATTACTTTTGCGAAAATCAAATTAATACGGTACAAGATGGCAGACGGCATAAATTCGCGAACATTAAATCCGCAAAATAAAAATCCACGAAATTTATAGCCCTCAAAAAAAAGGCGCCCTACGGTATCTGTCTCTTAATAGTACAGGTGGTCTAAAGTCAGATTACCTTGAAACTGGGCAGAGTCATAGTTTTAAAAAGTTCCGATAATTAGCTATGAGTAATTTTAAAAGTTACATGTACCAAGTCACTTACTACATCATGTGTACAGTAGCATTGTTACTATAAACAGTATCAGTTACCACTACTATAAATTGTGGAATTATGAATAATGTATTATTATTATTATTATTAATTGATCATTGTCATTATTATTCATTGCTTGGCTGTCTATAAATAGTCTGTCATTTTTGTTAATTATTAATCTCTACTTCTTCGACTTCACTGAGTTAATAAAAGATTGTTTGTTACTGTCAATTCTTTGAGAAATTTTTGTAGAGTGCAGTGGAGGGCCTGCTGTACAAGACAACCCAGTGCAGAAGAGACTGAGCTATCGGAACTGAACTCACATTGTGGTCCACTGCGAGACGGATCGTCAGATCAAGGAGATCGATGAAGAAGCTGAGGACAGTCTTGGTTATCAAAATTGGGACGGAATCGTTGGACTATACTGGAGTTGTCGCGGAATTACATTATAGAAGTTGTCGTGAGTGTTGTTTGTTGTTTTTTAGCATTTCTCACCTGAGTGTAATCGCCATATTTTTGTACTTTGTGCTCCTTTGTAAAATTATACTGAGGCGGCGCTGTGCCACGTGTCAAGAGAGAACAATTGAGACCTCGTAGAGCCCTGCCCAATTGTTATTTTTACTGATTTGGAGTGTAATGGCTGATCTTGCTGCACTAAAGAGAGCTCGAGGGGGACACAGAGGAGTAGCTACACGCAGACTGAAGGAAGTGAAGGATATTTTTGCAGCTACAGATGCCCCAGACTTGTTAAAGCTTGATATACTGAAGCGTGGATTGGAAGAGACTCTTGATTATCTCAGAAAGTTTGATAATCAGATTGCTGCCATCCTTGATCCAGGGGATGTGACGAAGGATATTGAAGATGCAGAGGCAATAAGGCGGATTTACAATATTACGCTAGTCCTGACGTTACGTTGACGCTGGAATAGAATCTGGTTCTATTTCAGCGGAAAGCATGCGTCAAAAGGTCAAATCGCCCACGTTTTTGATTAAAAATTAACGGTACGCTGGCCTAATGTCATATTGTAAATCCGCCTAAAAGGATGAAATATTTGTTGCAATGGCACAGGTAGATAATGCCTTGGTGGCTCCACAGGTTGGTGGCACTCCTGCTTCTACGGCAGCAGTGGGCGCTCCCACAGTGGCCAAGCTACCAAAGCTACAGCTTAAGCATTTTAATGGTTCGCTTACTGGATGGAGTTCTTTTTGGGACTCATATAAGACTGCCGTGC